AAAAGGATCGGCGCTCCCCATGGTGAGCTACTCGGTCTGGTAAATCCATTCCCCAGCAGCTCTTGAAGTTGCGAGGATAACTCCTGCATCTCGGGCAGCGCAAGGCGATAAGGTGCATTGGCAATAGGTGCCACACCCGGAATCAAATCGACCTGGAACTCCACCTGCCTCTCGGGAGGCACACCCGGTAACTCCTCGGGGAAAACATTCAGGAACTCGCACACTATCGGAACCTCGGAGATAGAACTCGGCCTCTCAGTGGCAACCCTCGTGTAACAACCCGTTATTACCAGTCAATAAAAGTCAAGGAAAGTCAAACCCTCAAAATAAAAATCAAGTTTTATTTATTTTGTTAAGTTTATAAGGGTTAAATATTGATTTATTATATAGAAATAATTTTATTATAAAGACTGGGATAAAAACCCACCCAACCGAGAACCCTCGCATGGGTCCTACTCCTTGGACCGAAAACCCTTCTTCGGACCGCAAACCACCTCACCACAAACCCTTTTCTCGGTTGGAGCTTGGACCGAAATCAAGGTGATTTCGGTTGGACTTTTCGGCCGAAAACCCTTCTTATATATATGGTTTCACCTACAAACATACTTCATTTCTCACTATCTAAACCGAAAACACACTCATTTTGCTCTTAAGTAGCATCCGAGAATATTCAAATCTTCAAGCGAAATCCTTCAAATCTTCATAAATTCACCAAGAACACCACGAACACCAAGAAAAATATTCAAATCTTCAAGCTTGACCGAAAACTACCTGGACCGAGAACCACTAGACCGAAATCCTTTCTGACCGAGAACCCTTCCTTGACCGAAGACCGATTTCGGTCAGCACCGAAATCATCCTGTGAAGGATCCCACAATTGCACCAAAAACTCCCCTCTTGGACCTACTTTCATATCGGAAACACCTAGAATTCTTCCAAATAATTCCTAAGGCTTTTTGTAAGTATTTCTTACTTAAGTTAGTGTTATCTAAACACTTTAATTTATTATTTAAATTAATATTATATTAATTTGAATATGATATCGTGCATAACTATTATTAGGATACGACTACGCACACGGGTTCTAACCCAAGGATCATCGCTACCACTTTGTATCCAAACAAGAACGCACATTCGAGGTGAGTTCATACCCTACATTTTCACTATTTTCATTGTTTTTAGGGGGGGGGGGATACAAGTAAAACACAAGGACTCTTGTGTTAATATTCAAACGATTTCAAACCGTTACAAACCATTTGCAATTGTTTCAAATCGATTTATCGCTGCATTTGACCATAAAAATATTTTTATATATTTTGTTGAACCTTTTGTAACATGCTGAACAAAAGGGAACTTTATTCAAGTCTTTTATTACTATTGTACACATACTATTAAATTGCAAAGGATTTCAGTTCAATACAGAGCATACATTTAAACTATAATAGGTATAGTTTGGGAAACACTACACTATTATACAAGCTCAAGAATGTTATACATAAACAAGTATGGAAACTATAATGGGTATAGTTTATGGAACATTACTCTATTTCACCATTTCAAGGATACCTTATTAAGTAATTATTCAAGTATAATTATTTTACATTACAAAGTACACTACTACAAGGTAATAGATACAGTTTCAAGTACAAGAGAATTGGTTAATACAGGGTTGTGAGGCACTACTTCATTGTACCCATCAAGGTACAGGTTCAAGTCCTATAAATTATCACCAGAGTCTCCTGGAGGGAAAACGTGAATTTGTGTATAGATCTATACGGGACTGACAATCCCGCACCTGAACTGTTAGCTACAGTTAGACCGGCATGTCTGAGGTGACAAATGTCATAACATTCCGATGATCGAAGAACGTCGTAGAGGCCACTAGTCATATTAACATGATTATATGAAACTCACAATAGTATCAACTAAAACATTGTTTACGGGATTAACACTACTTCAAGGGTTTTATTTTAAATAATGAAACTACAGTACACTATTTTACACCACAGCTGGTGGATTCCAGGCATTCATACAAAATATTTTCATACAAACACCACTATGATACACTACTTTTCTAGTGTTGAGTACACTAGTACAACATACAATTTAGGGGAACATTCATGATATGGTTTTATTTATTAATGAGACTACAACACACTATTTCTGAGTACAATAACAAACATACATTTTGGTCTTAAGGCCTAAGACTACATTTCATTTACTATAGAAAATATTGGATTTTCTGGAGGAACATGATAACGTTTTTAAAAAGAACAATGACAAGCTTTCCATCACAAAAACATACTTATGAACTCACCAAATTAAATGTTGATACACTTTCTCCACACCGGTCTCCTTAGAGCTTCCAGATCTAACATTGGTTCGGGTACAGGTCCTGTGCTTTCAGTAGTATGGGCCCAATACTACATTCTACACCTACCTGTACATTCCCCAAGGCTTTACCTGTTAACTCTAGTTTTTCCTAAAACAAAACATATCTCACAACTACCGCATACTCAAATCCTAGGCTATCCTAAGATTTGCTTAGTCCCGTCAAACCAGATCCCAACAGACATAACACGTTGCCCTATGCATGCAAGTTATACATAAACAGAGCCACATAGACTTTCAAATAAGCTTCTACCCTAGACCACAATCCAAACAAGGAACAATAATAAGACAAAAATCATCATTCTAGGGCTATGCAATCCTAAACGTATACAAGGCTCTGATATCAACTTGTAACAACCCAAATTTCCAATAAAAATTTTCATTTTTAAATAACGAAACCATGTTCATAAAACAAAACATTCCAATCACATTTATTTTCAAAAATCCATGACATCAGATAAATTATTCAAAACATTAGAGTGTCCCAAACAAAACGCCAGAGAGTAGATGCTGCGCCATCAAGCCGAGCCCTTGCCTTAGATCCTGAAGTACCTGAAACAATCAACAAACTGTAAGCTAATGCTTAGTGATTTCCCCCATAGAATACCCCATATAATCCACATAATCACATAACTATATCAATCACATAAGCCATGTATATAAACATATAGGGATGTCGTGGACTCCCTCCAGGGTCTTACTCCATGATGTCGTGGGCTCCCCCAGAGTCTTATACCTATGTGTCATGGGCTCCCCCCATGGTTTTACGTGGAATGCCATGGGCTCCCCACATGGTCTGATATCCAAGTGCCACGGGCTCCCCTCATGGTCTTTACCTGGAATGTCAAGGGCTCCCCCACACGGTCTAATATCCAAGTGTCATGGGCTCCTCCCGAGGTCTTTCATGCAAGTATCACAGAAACAATAAGCATCCCACATAACACATAATCAACTAGTATACCACATATCACATAATCAACTAGTATACCACATATCATAAAATGGGTCGGCCTTGGTGCCTTCGACCCATTGGTATGGTAAGGAAACTCACCTCTCAAAATATGTTGAACTGGTAAGATCAATTCCCAAATCACAGCTCTGAACTCAACTGCCTACAACCACCTTGTGACTAACTTCATCAAAATCCAAAAATACCAAAGATACCTTTAAGGTCAAGCTTGGTCAACCATGGTCAAAGTCAGAGCCAACAGTCAAGGTCAACAGTCTATTTTGACCCAACTTGTCGAGTGCACTTGCTAACTCGTCGAGTTCCTTCGGTCCTTAGAAAACCGGGAAAAACCCTAGGCAACTCGCCGAGTTGACAAGACAACTCATCGAGTTTTCTTAGTGTCCAGAAGATCGGGGAAAACCCGGGCCAACTCGCCGAGTTGGAAAGGAAACTCGTCGAGTTTACATAGTCTTAACTCATTCAGCCACTTTCTAAGCGAGTCTAAAGCTCCAAACTATAGATCTGATCCCATAGGGCTGAAATACCACGTAAAGTTGCTAACTTTACGTCCATGCATGACATTAAGGGGGCTAAAACACTCAAACATAGCTTATTAAGGAATTTAGAGCATGAAGGAGGGCCAAGACTTGATAAGGTTGGCAACTTTAAGTCCATGGAGGCCATGAGATGTCCAGATCTGAAACCATAGCTTCATAACATTCTCAATTCCAAGAATGGTCCCAAAATAAGCTAATAATGGCCATAAACTTTCAAGAGAAGAGATCTAGCAAAGGGATGATCAAGATAACGACTGTATACCTCCAAATGGTTGCAACAACACTGAAAATCCCGGATCTAAAGCTTCTCCCTTCAACTTTGCACCACCAACTTCACACTTCTTCGAGAAAAGCACCAAAGAACACTCTTTAAGCTCTCACACACTCAAAATGGGGGAAGAGGCACAATTAGAGTTTTCTATGGACTTAGGGGACGATGAGGGAGGCTACTAATGGGTCATAAGGTCTTTAAATAGGGTGCAAACCCTAAAAATTAGGGTTTTCCTTTCCAGCGTCTACTCGTCGAGTTGGGGCTCCCCAACTCGTCGAGTTGAATCCTTGATCCGCATCCAATTAAATCCCTACACGACAAGTTGGAGCTCCCCAACTCGTCGAGTTCCAGCCTAAAACCCTAAAAATGTTGAGAACTGAATAATATTTGGACCAAGCATTACACATCACCTCATTCCGCATTATTATGATTACTCTAATGTTTGTGATGTATTTGATACACTTTGTTCCACTATGGTCTTATATTGATGTCTTGGGATAATGGTTTTATAAATTTAAAAACGAACTTTTTTAGTCTAAATTTTTGGGATGTTTCAAAAGGGGTGTTCCATTCTCGATATGTATCTAAAAGAAACAAGAAAGAAAGAGATGGATTCAACTCCAGTTCCAAACGAGAAACAAATCCGAAGAAATATGGCCATGGATTTGAAATGTGTTGTCATCGTCGAACAATCTAGGGTTTGTCATAACCTGAATCACCGTCGGTTGCACCACCTCGTACCTCAAATCTAAGATAGTCGTCGCCTAAGTTTTCGAGTCGTCGCCTGTTTCATGACGGATTTTACTTTGGGGTCTCGGATTGAACACCACCACTACCTGTAATCTCTGCTTCCGTCATGTGTCCCCACCGCAATTGGAGTTCGACCTCCGGTTTCAGGAGGTTGTACGTGGTGTGTCTGACCGGTGTTTGTTAGACTGATTTTAAGTCGACTCAGGAAGAGAATCGGTGGTGAAGCGGAGGTGGTAAGGTGAGTCTGGAACGAGAATGTGGTGGAGGTGGAAAAGTCACCAATGAATCGCCTGGTGGTATTGATCGGAGGTGGGGAACTTTCTAGTGATTTTTGAGAAAGGGACATTAGAGAAAGGGAAGGGGAGAGTGGTTAGGTGGAGATTATTATTTTTTATTTTATTTTATTTATTTATTTATTTATTTATTTTTTCAAGTTTAAAAATGATTAAAGAATAAAAGAAAACTAAAAAAGAAAATATTAAGGGCAAAATAGACTTTTTATGTCAAAAGGGATGAAGTGTGCAACTTTTAAATAAATGAGGGACGGTCCGAGTTAATTTTTGAAGATAGGCACTAAACATGCTTTTGGGCATCTGTATGTACCATGTACCACCAGGGACGAACGGTGTAATTTACCCATTAGAAAAACGTGGGGTGGGGTTGGGATATAATGAGGTTTTTTATATTTTAAATTAATAAATAATAATAAAGTTTTAAAAAAATAATATGGGTAATATAGTCAGTTTCGATGTAGCAGGGACAAAAGACGCAACAAAATCAAATAGTAGGGACCGTTCGAGTTAAAAAAACAAAGTTAGGGACCAACAATACATATTACTCTAAACCATAGGGACCATTTGTGAAATTTAATCTTTCTGGCCTACACATTACACATTTCGTATTTTCAACATCATCTAGACATTTTTCTAAACAACAGTTTTTCACACCGACCTCTATCCATTGATGTAGCACTGGATTGCTTGGGACAACATTTGTAAATCCATGAAGGAGGATGAGTTGGTAATTAGACAGGAAGTTGCATGCCAAACTTTGAATCCAATGATTTAATGATTTCATGTATTGGGATCCAAAAGAAGTGACACAAATAAATATCAGTTAATGGTTAACTGCTTATCACAATAAAATAGAAGTAGACAAACCACATGTAACATGAATAAGCATCACCTAAAGGTGTCGTACCTGTTGTGATGAAAGAATAGTTTCATGACTTGGTCTTTGACATATGATGATGCTTCAGAACCACCATGGCCATCGAAATCACTTTGTTGCGTGTTAGAACTCTGCCAATCAATTTAAAATAATAAATCGGCATTTAAAAAAAATGATTCTTACTCCATCATCAACTACAATTGGTCTTCCAAGGCGATTCAACTCAACTTCCGTCTCTTTAAAACATTTATTTATCAGGGAAATAATTCTCGGTATTTTTGCTTTAATTATAGATTCCAAATGCTATTAATAAAATCATCCAAAAAAATAATGATATTATAAGTCATTGATTTTAAAGAAGAAAATATCAAAATGACCTTACCTGTAAGAGAAGCTTTGGTAGATATTCTGAACCCATTTTACTCACCAGGTGTCCATAATCAGTATTTGCATGTATAAAAATACTCCTGTTCCATTCACCTTGCGTATATCATATCAGTATTTTTTATAATATCAGCTTCTGATCTGTTCATAGTTCCCACCCATGGATGATTTAGACGATAAGCTCTGCCTTCAAGAACCTTTGAAAATGGCAAGAATGTAATTAATTTTTTAAAATATAAGACAAACTTTGTAAAAAAGCAAACACCACATTTTTTGTAATCATCAAATACAGGGCAGTCTTCTCTATGTATAACTGAACATGAAAGAAGATTAGATACAAGTTAACCAAAACATAAAGTCTTATAAGATAGAGAAGGAAGCATACATTTCTACCTTCTTGTCAAGATCATACATCATTCGAACCACCTATCCTTCCATCCATGATTGAATAGCAAGCCGTTGAAATCAATCTAGTAAAATTTATAAAAAAAATTCAATAGTAAACTGAGACGATATGGAAATCCATGAATATTTAATTACTGATGTGAAATCGAAAAATTAGGGCTTACTTGTTCTGTGAAGATAGAATGACAAAAGACGGCTGATAGGTTGCCTACTATATCCGGTCAAAATGGTCAATCAAGAAAAACGACTAAAAATTCCATGATTCTATTGGAAAAAAATTTAAGTATATAATAGGGGATAAAAGATTAAACCACAAATTGACAAGAATTTTTAAATGCCTTTTTTCCGTGATTCTCCCAAAAATAACACAAAATGTACATAATATTGGATTATGGATAAAGGGTATTTTTGGAAACTTACAACCATACGAGGCATGAACCTTCCATAACAGCTAACATTCCGCCTTATCCTAGCTCTAAGTCTCTTTTCAAGCACAGGGTCAAAACCGTCATATAATCTCCATTGTTCATCTCTTTCTTGTCTAGTGCTAAGGCATCAAGACTATTCTCTTCACCTTCAATTCTTATCATGATCTTATAAGTAGCATTGATTTCATCTTTTGTCAATCTCCCCAGTCTCAAAAGCTGCTCCAACTTATCTCTTCCAAGTGAATGACCAGTAAAAGAGGCATGGGAACAAAACTTACCATCCCTAAAATTAAGAACCAAAGCAGCAAAATATTGGTCCCCAATTGAAAATTGAGTAGAGAAAAGAAAAACAAAACTTTACGCTGATCCTTCCGATATTAGTGAAGATAATGTTTGGATCGAGACACTTAACACACGACTCTAAACACACACACAGCTCACGAAAAACAAGAACACAAGGATGA